GGGGTTCAGGGTCTGTAGCATCACGCCCAGGGGAGAATACATTTACTGTTAGAGTTCATGTTAAGAAGAACAAGAAGGTGACTCGATCGCTGGGACAACACTTTTACCCGCCTGACATTTCGAGATCCGGCGCGGATTCATCATCAGAGACATAAGCAGAAAGCAGTACCAGATACGGGTAGCGTATGCAGTATTTATAGGATAGGGTCATTCCCGCAAACATACAGCTACAATTAACGGTAATTGGCGTCTTGCGCGCTAATCAGTTTTTGAATGGCATGCGGGCTTTGACTTGCTGAACCAGATAGCCGAGCCATCATCATGCCCAATTTCACCAAGCGTGATGAAAGTTCAGCAAGTCAGAGCTCGCATGCCAGTCAACAAATTATCAACGCATAAGAAGGCAATTGCCGGTAATTGTCTTTGTATGTTTACAGTAATGACTGTATCCTATAAGTACTGCATATGCTACCCGTATCTGCTACTGCTTCCTGCTTATGTCCCTGATGATGGATCCGCGACAGATATCGAAACGTCGGGCCCGGAAGGCAGTATCTATTCAAACTTAGTTTCGTAAAGAAAAATTATAGCAATGTGTGCAGATAAAATGTACAAATTTGTAATAATGTCAGCAGAAATAGTCTCTTTAGAGCAATGTTTGGCGATGTTTTACAATTGATCGTGAACTAAAAAAAGGCTGTTCAATACCTTCGTACAATGCATATGGAGGCAGAGTTCAACGTGTCTCCATTTTAAACTAGTGTAGGAGAAACAAACTGCTAAGAGGAATAAGATAGATGTGTAGAAAAGACTAATACTACAATAGCCGTTCAGAATGTGATAACTAAATGTGTCTTTAGTTCGCTTGTTGTCACTAATGTGTATTTCTTAAAATCTCGCGAAGAAGCATCACATCACGTAGGACCTCGACATCTCAGCAGCCAAAATGGAATTCTGATGATGAGTAGTAGCCAACGAAACGCGAGTAGTTTCGAGTGAGTGCGTCCATATAGCTTCCATAGTTTGAATGACTGGTGATTTATGGAGAAATCTAGATAACCGGGGGATACAATGCGGACGACTGAAGGGGGTAATGATAGAAAGGTTGGGGAGATCTGTACGTTTACAAAGTCCATAAAGCAGACAAAAGTCTGCTACCGATCACCTGACCCAAGGAAATTTCAGTTTCGTTAATTGGCATCTATTTGAGTAAGAAGTATTTGAAAATGTCGGATAAAGCAGTTTTCTTGTGAAATGTCTTTGGAACTTTTCAATTTTTAAATGGCTAGATTCGTTTATTAGACCGAAGAATGAGCAACAGCATTCTAGGCTGGGAAGCACAAACACACGATGAAGTCTTAATTCCATTCCAGGAAGGTAGAAATTATAAGAAATAATGCCACAATTCTGGGCAGCTCTAGCCATTTTTCCATCAGCGTGAGGCGAAAGGTCTAATTGATTCGTGTAACTTAAATCTAAGTCCTTGAGGATGGAACATTCAGTCCTTGGGCAACCTTTTAAAATACTAGGTTGTGGCATCATTTCAGACCTAAAGTACATGTATCGGCACCTAGAAGTTAAGAACTCAATCTGCCATGTGGAGCTCCACGCAGAAAGAGCGTTCAAAGCATGGCCGTAGAGTTAGAGGAGTAAACGCGCTTGAAATTATCCGCTTAAGAGTGGCTGAAGATAGAAAACGTTGGGGAGAAAGGGAACCAACAGGGTATAAATAATGCCGCGGTAGAAATCATAGACAAAATGCAGGGATATGCAGGAAGAGGAGGCAGACTGAGAACAAAAGTACAAAGAAGACGGAGAAGAGGAAGAACAACTGCATACAATTAGTAACAATAACGAACTATGGATGTTATCCTGTCAAGTTATGTGTGACTGTGGCAAGGCTAGACCATCGGAAGCGCTTTTTCTCCAACAGAGTCGTCGATGCATAGACTGCTGTATCTGTGGAGGTCACTATGTCGGAACCCTTAGAGGATTTAAGCGGAAACTAGAGCGATATAGTAGGGCAAACTACAATACAGCCTGACCGCTTTTATCTGAATGCCTCAAAATTACAATTTGTTTACTATTTGAAACATTCTAGCAATACTATTTGTGTAATATTTTATTTGGAATAGTGAGCTTAAACCACTACCCGATCAATGTCATCCTGACGCCCTTATGATTATAAATAATCGGTAAGGCTTTCTTTTGATGACAGAATTCGTGATTAAATTGTTAATGCTTGATTATTGAACGTATACTTCATGCTTTTTTCATGGGAAGTGCACAGAAGAGTATCAATTAAAGCCACAGACCAATAACTCTTTAGAGCATCCCTAATGGTAAATAAAGGAAAGATCTACACCAACAGAACTGTTGGAGCAATCCCTTTGACCGTTAGGTGGCCTATTGTTTAATTAAGGAAACCTATTTCCATTAGGCGGCCTCAAATAAAATGCCTCACAAATATTCTGTTATGCACTACCCTTCACTTACGCTTTCTCGTAGTCATTTACATTGGAAGGTCTTTGCAGTCTTCCCTACTTCACTATATGCGAACCGCGACTTTACCGTCAGCGATCGCACCTGGCAGACCTTTTGGTCATAGTCCAAGCGGTTCCCTTAGTTCGACACGCAGTGGACCGTCGACGATTTTGGCCTCTACCGTATTTTCGTGATGGTCCCGGTAACCTTTTCGATGTCTACCCTGTTTGCCTCCTAAAAGTCTTTTTCACTGTCTGTTCTTCTTCACGTTTGTTCCACCTGAATGGCTTATGTCATTTGGTCTCGCCAATAAACGGAGATACTACTTTTGGTATCACGATGCGAAATTTCAAAGGTACCCGCCTACATTTCCCGCAAATATACTTATGCAAATGCTGAAATCGCGCAGCGAAGAACTATCAATGGGTGTTAAGGATACTAAGGTTTAACTCTAATGGCTGCAATCGTCCAGGCCCGGTTCCTTAGGAGAGGAGAGCGAAGTCTTGAAAAGGCCAGAATAGAGTATATTCTGTACAGAATAAATGGGAGGATATGCAGTAGGAAATTGACTACCCGATGACCGCATAACCGCAAGCCAACGGACGGAATCTGAAGTGCGGTCTGCTCGGCAGTTGTCAGAGTAGGTTCTGTGTGAGTTGGTCTGTGATTGGCTGTTACAGAGACCGGAAAACTGCGAGCGTTCCGAAACTGCACTTCGACTTGAGCTAGTCACAACAAGCGTTCACAAGTGCACTTCGTGTGTAGGTAGTCACTACAGTGCCATAGCGGTGGTGCATATGAGAAGATTTAATGAGGTGAACACCCTGCTGATAAAGACAATTGGCGGTGGGTTTGTGCAAATGTCAAGCGTCATTTTTGCACACTGATGCTGCGTGTTCGTACATTCGCGTTATGTGCATTCTTCGAGATCCTGCCAATTTGCCACCTTACCTGTCAAGGAACTTATGGTTAGATCTAGATAGAAGATCAGAATGTGGATGGGATTTTGGATTTGGGCTGCGGTTATAGGTAGGTAAGAGTTAACTTAAGGATATGAATTGGGAGTAGATAAGGTTTCGGAATGAGTGCGGGTTACTTATACTACCTATGATTACAGTTCCCTTTCAGGTTAGGTTTTGTGGTAGATTT